TAATTGTTCTTGCAAACAAAGTAGGTTAATTTTGATTACATGCCTTATTTGGAAATATTTCCTTACTTAAGAAACACGAAATACTTTGTTAATTCTGGACAGGTTTGGTGGCAACGCAAGTTTGTATGCGCCTTCACCAACTTTCTTCAGAATCTCAAAGGTGACTCAACCTTCCCTTCAGGCTAAATTTGTGCGCTGCCTTGGTAGGTGAAACATTGATGAAGACTCTCTTCCAAACTTGAAATTCTTCTTCTAGCGCTAGCATATTTCTTCAGTCTATCCTAAGTTGTCCTTAATCTTTTCTAAATTAATTTAATCTTCTCAGTTGTCTTTTGTGCTATTTTTGGTCCAAACAACTTTCTTTCTCCTACCTCAGACCAACATACAGGTGTTCTACATTTCGTTTTGTACGGGCATCAATTAAAGCCATTCTTATGATATCATGGTAGTTATTATAGTATGCAAATTACACCAAATGTAAGTACTCTCCCAACTATCAGGCATGGCCAGTGAACAATCTCTGAGCATGTCTTCTAAAACTTGAATGGCTCTTTCTGATAGGCCATCAGTTTGTGGATGAAATGTAGTACTCAATTCAGTTCCCAGGGCTTCTAGCAAAGCCATCCAAAATCTTGCTGTCAACTTGCTGTCCTTCTTAGAAACAATTCTAGCAGGTACACCATGGAGCCTATCTCTTGAAAATAAAGAGCAACCCAATCATTCAAATCATGTTTCTTTCTAAATGGGATAAAATAAGCATACTTAGTAAGTCTGTCCACAATTACCCAAATAGCATTGGACTGCTTCTCAGTCTTGCTTTGGTAGTCCAAGCACAAAATCCATAGTTGCATCTTCTCATTTCCACTCTGGTATGCTTGAATTCCTCTACCAAATTTATGATGTTTGACCTTCACTAATGCACAAGTTAACATCTTGCCACAAAATCTGCAACATCTCTCTTCACTTCATTCCACTAGTAATCATCCCTCAGATACATGTACAACTTTGTACATCCAGGATGTATGGTGTACATAGATCTATGTGCCATTTACAGTAATTCCAACTTCAATTTACTGCCATCAGGAATGCACAATATATTTCCCATTCCATTCATACCATCAGAGGACATCTATAGCCCAATATTCTTCCTCTTTTCTTCATCACTAAAGCTCTTTTGTAATTGGGAATCATTTTGATGTGCCTCCCTAATTTTTTCAAATAATTCTAGTTTGCAAACTGATATGAGCTAACAACACCTCAGGTTGTTAGTAATTTAAACTTTCAAATTTCTCAACTCTTCCAACAACTCCCACTCTTTAACCCACATAGCAGCCAAGGAAACAGATTTTCTACTCAATGCATGTGCCATCACATTAGCTTCTCCAGGTTGATACATGATCTTACAATTTGTAATCATTTACATATTCAACCCATCTAGTCTACCTAAGATTTAAATCTTTTTGAGAAAAGAGATGTTTTAGGCTTTGGTGGTCGATAAAGATCTAAAACTCCTCCCCACAGAGGTAATGCCTCAAAGTTTGAGTGCAAATACAATTGTTACCAACTCCAAATCATGAACTTGATAATTC